ACTGAATTAATTTATTCTCCAGGTTCACACAATATAGTAAATCATAAACTTAACAAAAGTTGGATTGGTAATGTGAAACCCCACCAAAAAAACAAACAAACTCTAAGCAAAGTTAAAATTAACTGAGTTTGTTGCATGAATAACATACTCAGCCTTTCCCTAACCACATTAAAGCATGTTGTGTGAACAACACAGCCCCGTATTTCCTTTGTCTCTGCTTCTGGTGTCCCTATTTTGTCTCTATTTTGCTATTGGGGAACATGTCCTTAAGAAATATTAGAATAATTATTATGGTTACAATCAACATATAATTGGTTATGTGATTGTATGTTAAAGCAATTAAACATCCTGTTTGCATGTTGATAACGATATTAATTACAAGTAGAAACCATTAATATCAATTGTCAGAATTGCCTTACTGGACTTCTAATTTCCGCTTCCCAATCGTTGCAAATCAAGCCTCTGAGTTGCTTGTTTTACATGCATTCAGGATGGAATAAGCCTACAAGCAGACCTAAAGGGAATTGCACCAGAGCAGCAGTTTGCCTCCCTCATGAACCTATGTACAGTATTTTAGGAACACAACAGTAACCCTTGCCAAAGGCAATTGAGAAGGGAGAAGATAAGATGGGGCCAAAGGAACCTCTCTTGTCAACAAAGACATTTCATTACCAAGGCAGCCAGTTGACTCCAGTGGCTCCAAGTACAGTGTGTCCATGGAAACCCCACAAGCGTAGGGGAACTATGGGAGTTTTTTTTCCCTTTGGCACAGGGGTTGTTATGCAATGGGCCATGTGCTGCTGAACCAGTCTGGTGGTTCAAGAACCTTCTAAGATTGCCCTCTTGCAATCTGGCAGGGAAACAGTGATTTCCACCTTGCTCAGGTATGATGCCACAGTATCCCTGTTATACCTCCTCTGGTCTTCAGATGCTCTCTACACCAAGTGGAAGAATATTTAGTGTTTGGCAGAAAAGAGACCCTTGGATCCACAAGATTCCAAGTCCTTTGCTCTTCCAAGAGGACTCAGCATCAACTCTTGTTCATTCCATCTGCTCTCCGCAGTCCCCAAATGTTTCCAGATGAGGATATTCAGTATGTTCAGATCTGCCAGACAGGTAACCGCTAGCAGAAGACTTTATAAATAGCAATTCTTGCTTTTAGCGGTGACATGTCCTAGGGACAGAATTCTGGCTGTCCCTTCTGCAGAAGCATAAGATGCTCTATGTAACCTAAAACTGAAGCTTCAGTGCACAGCAAGCAAAAAAAAGAAAAAGACCAACTTCTTCATTGGGTGGAGCAAGGGAGCACCCAGGCGCATCGCCTGGTGCCTGCTTAAAACAGGAAAAGAAAAAATGAACAACTAAAACAACCCTGAAGTCCAGCAGTTACTGTTGCGCAGATGTGAAGGACAATCGTAGCTGTGAGATAGTTGACAGGATGGAAGTTGGTCGATATCATCTTTGTTCTCTGCTTCTCCTGGGGGCCTTTTCAGGTAAGGTAATATTGGAGGCTCTAGGGATTGGAGACTCTGAAAAAATGGGGAAATCCGGACTGGTAGCAAACTCTACCAGGTAAAACCCTTTCCCCGCCACTTCTACGGAGAGCTTTCCCTGCTTGTTTTGTGTTAAACTGCCTTTAAAGGCCAAGGAGCAACGGGGATGGTAGCTTGGAAGGGACAGGCGTTGTTTGTTGTTGTCGGAAGGTACAGGCGTAAGATTGCGCAATTCTGTGTTCTAAGTTCAAAGATAAATCCCAAAAGTCAATCAGTTTCAAAAATGGGAAAGGCTGGTGTATGTTCGTTGTGGCCCTGATTCCTGATGACGACCTGGACAAGTCCCTGCAGTTTTCTTGGCAACATTTTCAGAAGTGGCTTTGCTAGTATTTACTTCTGAGAGAGAAACTGGCCCAAAGCCACCCAGCTGGCTTCGTGCCTAAGAGAGGACTAGAATTCAGGTTTCCCTGCTCCTAGTCCAGCATCTTTACCACTACACCAAACTGGCTCTCTTTATTGCTAGGCTAAAATGTGGACCTTGTACTTGAATCTGGAAGAGGCATGTCAGTCCTGAAAGAAGTTCCAGGACAGACTAATTTTAAGAGTCAGGGCTGCAAGTGAAGTGTTATTCTGATATGGGATGGAAGAGAAAAAGTTGGAAGAAATAAGGACTGTTCTTATAATTGAAAGGGGATTGGCAACCATCTGTACTATGTGAATAGTGCAAGATTCAATCTTTTGTATCTCTAGGTAGACCAAAGCAAGTGGAACATTAGCCTGAATTCATGTAAGGCTGTTCCTCTGTTCCACGTTTTTTGGTATCTGAAATATTGAAGATTCCATTTTTCAATATGTTTAAGTGGAACTGCTTAATTAAAACTGCATAATTAATTGTCTATATTTAATTATTTATAACCTCCCAGTTTTCCTTATAAAAAAACCCTGTTCCTGAAGAGGAGCATTATAATTCCCCTTATTTTGATTTTTGAAACGTTCAGATGGGGTCATCTCAAAGGATTGTTAAAATAATAAATTAGAAAACCCTCTTCATTGATTTATGCCTTTTTATGTTTTGTGTCTAGGGGTCCTCAATAAAAAAAGTCTTATTGAAAAAATTAATATCCTAAAAAAAGGAAAGGGGCAAGGGTGGGTTGAAATGAATATTTGCCTGTACAATCTTATACATGCCTACATAAAAATAAATAAATCTTAGACAATGGGTGCCTGTACCCAGATAAGTTAGCCCAGAATTGTGCTACTATTAACTATTAACTTAGTAGTTAAGGGTAGAAACTTAAAATTACTGCAACATGATGAAATGGATACTATAAAATATCTGCTGGATATATATACACCTGGTTTAAAACAAACCATATTGAACAAGCTGGGAACAAGACAGAATTCATCTTGCAATCATTGCTTCTTGAGCCAGTTTTTGGATTGCTTTCCTGCCTTTTGAAATTATTTTTATATTGCACAACCACTGCTTAGCTAGAGGCTTGAATAGCATCCAGAAACCAACCAGGAGTGTCAGGAAAACACATCATGAATTGTGGTTTGTGCATCATTCTTAATTACAGTGCAATCAATAAATCAACAACTGAATCAGGCCGTTGTTTCCTGTCAAAATAAACCATGGTTTATTCAGACAAACCTCCCCCATTTAATACCATGCTAAGCCAAAAGCAAACATATTGTGGCTTAGTCTAACGTGCATACTTTTTCTTGCTTTTTTTATTCATGCTTTTATGAGTCCTTTTTTTATAAGAATACAAGATCCCTGCTGGAATCAGCCTTGAAAGTCATTATATTTATTCACTCTAAGTACCATTAACTGTTCATCCAATCAATAGAACAAATGAAATTTCTTATGGTACACTGATCTGGCACGATTATCCAATAGAGGTTGTTGGTTTTTTTTTTCAAACTGAATGTGTTTGAGTAGATTTGGGCCTCAATATCAGATAGGTAAAGTATCTGTAAAGATTTGAGACTGTTAGATTTAGACTTCAGAAAAGACCAGTGATGTCAGTGATGTCAGTAATCGGAAGTACATCTCTAATGACAAACACCACTGACTTTAAGGGCACTTAAATATTCTCCATAATAAATATTCAAGAATGTATAACCTTACAGTACAGTCTTCTGCATATTGACCCAGACATCATTCCACTGGGTTAGTGAGACCCACTTCCAGGTATTTTCCCCAGATTTTCTCTAAAGCAGTGTTCAGTGACTTTAAGATGTGTGGACTTCAACTCCCAGAATTCCCCAGCTAGCATGGCTGGCTAGGGAGTTCTGGGAGTTGAAGTCCACACATCTGAAAGTTGTTGAGGTTGAGAAACACTGCTCTAAAGCAATATTCCCTAAAGCCCTGTCAGCCCTCCAAGGTAGGCCAGGTCAGGGAACAGACATTGCACGAACCATTGGAACTCTACTGCTAGAAGGTATAATAACAATCTTGAAAGCCCAACAGAAATTCTTCCTCTCCTGTCTTATACTAAAGAAAATCAAGTCCGGCCAATCTTGAGTTTTTTCCTCAGCCCCTCCTGTCTATCCAGGCTAAGCTGGTGTTTCCATAACAGTTGTTGAGTTCTTTCATCAAGGCCATCTCTGCATTCCACCACAGCCCTAACTTTTAGAGGTACACTCCCTCCAAAGACTTCTCAAATCTGGTTCCACTGAACTCCGCAAGTCCTCTGCATACCTGGGGGGCCATCAAGTTTCCCCCTTTTAAAAAGCGACTCTTCTGTTTCCTGTCAACAGTGGCAGGAAAAAGGAACTAAAACTACCAGCAGCCCCTTGAGGGATGTTAGAAGGGGCAGCACACTGTGATGGAGATGTGGTTCACTGGTCTTACCAGTAGGGAAGGAACTCTGGGGAGAGTTTGTTATTGGAAAGATTGCAAGATATATTGGGGAACGAAGGTGGGTGGGAGTGACCCCTTTTTTTCATTGTTGTGTAGGCCTTGTTCCTTACCCTGACATATGGATATTCCGTGAAATTTCCTCTGGTTCACTTACTAAATTTCCACCTGCCCAGCTGCCGTAAAAGACCCAGACTGGGTTCTCATGTTGCTGTGGTTTATTGACCTCTGAGTTGGTGTGTTGGGTGAATCCACCACTATGGTTTGAAAACCTTTGTTTATGGCTTAGTGTATTGTGTAAAACACAGCCAAATGTATTTTATTCAAGAAACCAAGGCTAAGTATGTGAGAAGTTAGTCAATAATCAAAGGAGTTTTGTAGTTAACAGCTCTTATAATAAAATAAATCACATACCGTGTATTGTCAAGTTAGAATTAGTCCATTTCACCTACTGCATGCCAACAATACTCTTCCAAAATCAAAGTTATATGTTCCCATATATGTACAAACAATCCTTCTAGACAGTGATAATGTAAATAGAGAACATAAATAGTTCTCCATGTACTATATTTTGTTTCTAATCTCATTGTTTCCTTCAACACGTTTTGTACACCAACATTTTTCCCTCCTCCTATTTACAGGTTGTATTTATGGAAACCTAACCATTTATACCTCTAACGTAACTCCAGCCATAGAGCAAGTCAATAGCACAGATAGCACAGATGAAAATCCTGGAAAAACAAAATATCATGTTCTAACTACTGAGACTGTGGCAATGGAGCCTACCATTCAGAATTTCAAGCCTTTGGTGGAACATCAGACCCAGGTTTCTGTAATTATGAAACCAGTAGATGCCTCTCAAATCATTTTGGAAGGGAATTCTGCTACTCTGGAGTGTAGATTTACGGCCCCATCTGGGGCAAAAGTCTCCTGGAAAAAATCTTGCTCCCCAAATTGTAGCAACAGCCTTGAGGTCTTCAATAACAGCCACCACTGGATCTCTGCAGACGTCGGTCGTGGCTTTTCAAAACTCTCTTTCCATCAGACCCAAAGGAATGATACTGGGATGTACTACTGCTCTGTTGTTGCTTACAGTGGCCGTGGGCTATCATGTGGAACATACCTATGGGTCAGGAGTGAGTATGAACCTCATACCAATAAGGGTTGAATGGTTATCTTCTGCAGAAGGATAGCAGGGGCACAAATGATGTACAGATCTCTGTCCCAGTTTTTGATTGATTGATTGATTGATTGACCATGCGATCAAGTCGGTGTTGACTCTTAATGACCACATAGATAGATCTTCTCCAGGATGATCTGTCCCCAACCTGGCCCTTCAGGTCTTTCAATGGTGCACTAAATACCCTTATAATCAAGTATGTACACCTTGCTATCGGTTGTTCTATTCTTCTCTTTCTTTCTATTTTTATCACCATTACAGACTTCTTTAGAGAGCTAGGTTAGACCTCAACATAAAAAGCCAGGTACAGGCTAGCTAATGGTGCTTGGGAAGTTTGAGGACTGATGTTTGCTAGATGTATATAATGCCTTTCCTCTAATAGCTCAAGGCAATTCCATCCTCCAGGGTTTAACTCAACAAGTTTCTGAAGTGTACAGTGTGCTAAGCCTGGATTGAAGATTCAGATTTCTGTTAAGGGGTAAATCTTCCTGGACAACTTGTGCAAGTCACTGTCTTTAAAGCTTACTCTGGTTTAGAGACTAATTCATGTATGACAGAAGAATAGGACCTTGGCAAGATAGATTGAAGAATATAAAGCTTATTATTCAATCCTATGTGTGTTTCCTCAGAAGTAAAACCTACTTCTAGGTTTTAAAAAACTGTATTCCAATGCATTTCTATCACTGAGAGAGACTCCCAGACTTTTTAAAAAGTTATTTTTAAAGAATTAAATTTTATTAATAAAATTTGAGGAAATACTGTTGGTTTTCTGTGTTCAATATGTACCTGACATTTTCCTCTTCTCAGAATCTTTAGCATAGCCACCAGCCTTTAGTATTTTTATTTGGTATGTTTTTATCTATTTCCCCCCCACAAGAATAACTCTGTGAGGCACACTGAACTAAAAGAGAATGACTGGCCCAAAGTCACCTACTGAGCTGTGGCTGAGAGTAGGCTAGTCCAATACTTTTACCAATGTACTAGCTCACTCTCATTAGTTAGTTAGATCTGAGAGCATTCAGAATTAGGGGGGAAAGTTTAGGAAAATAGGAATGCCTAATTTGTCAGCAAATTTGAGGCCAGGGGAAGAGATCTTTCCTTTCCCTTATGCAGACATAGACACACACACACACACACACTTATTTCAGCTCTGAGCTTGTCATTGATTACAAAGACATCTTCAGTCATTCTGTGTCAATTTTTTGGAAGCAAAATCTTCAGTGGAAAAATATAGAAATAGCCTTTGGAAGGACTGAAAGCATACAGCCCAAACACAATTAATAAGCACGTTAGTACTGGTTGATACGAATATAAGGTCTAAAGCTGATTGGGACAATGACAAACAGTGGATTTCATATACTGTAGCAAGAAATCCTGGGGGGGAGTGGGGAAGGTTGGGAAGAGAAACCTATATAGTATTATTCTCTGAAGATATATGAGTGAAAAATTCTTCCATATATATGTATGTGTGTGTATACACACACACATTCCATTCAATCGTGTCCTATTCTCTGACACTGCCTGGACAAGTCCCTGCGGTTTTCTTGGCAAGATTTTTCAGAAGTGGTTTACCATTGCCTCCTTCCTAGGGCTGAGAGAAAGTGGCTGGCCCAAGTCACCCAGCTGGCTTCGTGCCTAAGGTGGGACTAGAACTCACAGTCTCCCCGTTTCTAGGCTGGTGCCTTCTAGGTATTGAGGGGTATATTTCTTTAGTTGTATGTTCTTCCACAGAACTTTGGTCCCCAACACAACTTCAGTCTGGTCCAAGATTACAGTATCTCAATATATATGTATATATTTAAATACATCTCCATCACAATACACTGAGAATTGGAACTTTCATTTCCTTTTTGAAATTGCTGCTTGTCTGTGATATGATGCACCACCAGCCCACACATTATTTAATTAGAAGTTTTTAAATTGTCAGGAAGTGTCTGCAAAACCTGTTGGAGGAAGGGACTTCCTCATAGGAGAAATCCAGACAGCTGGTTTAACACAGGAGAATTCAAAACTGAGCAGGCAAGGATTCTAGAAGATTGTGTGTCCCAGGTCACCTATGCTTTCCTAGGCATTAAGGGCACAGATACAGAGACATTTAAGTGCATATAACACATCAACATTATGGGGCAAATTAAGCAAGACCAAGTTAAGTCTACTTGGTTTCATGGATACTTGAATTAGATAATGCTGTCCAGACTGGGTCTGGGGGGGGTATATGAGACTTAAATATATACATCAATGCATGTAATCTTCTGCTCATTAGAATGGAGAGTGTGCCAAGCAAATAACATCCACAAGTTGGCTATGTTTAACTAATATGGTTTAACTGGTTATTGAACTAACCCATTTTCTGGGTTTGTACCATATAAAAAACCGGAGAGTAACTAAATGACCAGTGTTACAGTATATGATAAGCCACCCAACACTAACCAAGATTAAAATTAGCTAAAGTTAGCGTGTTGTGCAAATGCAGCTGTGGGATTTATAATTGACCTGCTTATGTTTATTGTGTCAACAGAGTCTTTTTGTCAATGTATTCGCCATTTTGCAAAAATTGCTATCTGACAAAATGACCTAAGGGAATTAACAGAAGTATCTATGATTTGCAGCACGATGGGTTGGCAGTGTAGATAATTCTGAAAAAAAGAATTCCAAGTGGGTGGTAAATAGGAAGACCAGGAATGTTGTGAGGTTTCCAAATCAATTGTCTATTTCTGGCTGTCTTCTAGGACCTCGCCCCATCTCCTTCCTGAATATGAGTGAATCCATAAAAAACAAGATTATTACAGCAGAGGGATTCCTTCTACTTATCTGTGCCATTGGCCCTGGTCTTTTTCTTCTGTTCAAGGTGAGCTGTTTTTCCCTCCACGCATCGTTTCCATACATGCATATATCGTATGACCCTTTCTGAATCTGTGTGTGCATAGTTTCCAGTCACCAGATCTTGTTCTGCTTTTGATCACTATGTTAAAGCATGTTCTGCTTCCTCACAGATGCACTAGCAGACAGTCTGATGGAAACATCAACTTGTTTGAAAAGCATCATTAGGAGGCTTCCTGAGGCTAAATTATTCTTGGAGCTATATTTTGGATTTCTTTTCAACACGTTTTTTCACAGTGTGGACATCACATCAGATCCAATTGGCAGTAGCCATGAAATGGAATATCAGATAGGCAAGCTGTTAGCTGTACATGTTAGGAGGAATGTATCGTTGATTTCTCAAGATAAAATTCTATTGTTGCCTGCTTTTAGTAGAATATTCCTGAAGTATTACATTTATGTTTCCATTTTCTTCCATCACTGAATGCAAAGCATCATATGTAGGTCTCAGACAGTTTTTCATCTGGGGGTTAATCAGGCCCAGACTGTTAGTATAAACAAACAAGCCGTATCCTGTGTCTTCAATCCATGCTCTAGTAACTGTCAAATATTTGTTGCTACATACCCATTTCCACATGAAAATCTGTGCACAGAACATAAAACTGGACTTCTACAAATATGAGGTTAAGTCAGGACTTATATATGCTTAGAACAGATCCACAGAAATTGATGGGACAAGTTGGCCATGGCTAACATAAATCTTGTCTACTCTATTATGGTAAATATTAAATGAAATGGTTTTGTGTAAAAATTCTTCCCATTTATTGTCCAGAATGAAGCTCTATATCCAAGCTCCCCATTATATCTGACAGTTTAATTTACTCAGCTATGTGACAAGGCCTATTTGAACATGTGTTTACCATCTGCATGTGAATAGTTTTTCCTGGTTGATTTTATTTATTTAAACTGATTTATATGCCCCACCCCCCCATCTCACTAATTGGACTCTGGACAGCTAACAATGGTTAAAAAATAATATATCTATATCAAACCAGTCAATCTTAAAGGAAATCAACCCTGATTGCTCATTGGAAGGATTGATAATG